TATACTGTATTTATATCCTTACCTAAGTAATAAAATATTTAAACCGCATACAAAAACCTAACGTAGTGCCGCAGCTTATCAGTCCTTAGCTGAGTTTACTTTTTTCAGAATTTTTTTCTTTATTTTTACATAATGATCCTGCAAGTAGCACAATTCCTGTTCTAGGGTGACAACTCACTGTACTATATCTATAGAGGTGCAGTGTTGTCACAATAGGAAAATAGGAAAGGAGGTGGACTGGGCAGGGCTGTTAACAATGCTTGGGATAATGCTCAGATTGCACAGGAACTTGCATGCTCATTGGACTTTTGGCAGGATCAATGGTTCAAAAGGCATGCTTTATTCCCTACCGCCAAAAGCACAATGACATACTAGACTGCCAACAACATGACAAAAATAACCACCACCCCAAAAATGCACAACAATACAATATTACAGTTTATCGTAATACCATAGTAATATTTCCACATCCAGAACCTTAATCATATAATCTACCGCCAGAACCACAATGATATCCTCTACCACCAGCACCATGCGTATAACACACATTGCTACAACAGCAGAATATTATCTTGTGACACCATAGTAATATTCCCACTGCGAGACCTGTAATCATATCACCTACCACTAGCACCACAATAATATCCTCTGCCACCAACACAGTACCAAAAACACCCATGGATCCAACAATAGAATATTATCTTGTGACAACATAGTAATATTCCCACTACGAGACCTGCAATCATACCACCTACCACTAGTGCCAGAATAATATCCTCTGCCACCAACACAATACCAAAAACACAGATGGCTCCAACAATAGAATATTATCTTGTGACAACATAGTAATATTCTCACTACCAGAACTTTAATCATATTACTTACCACCAGCACCACAATAATGCCCTCTGCCACCAACAAAATACCCATAACAACCATCACTCCAACAATAGAATATTCTATTGTGACACCATAATTATATCCACACTACAAAAAAGGTAGAGCTTTTATTTTAAATATTCTTTCAAACATACTTTGCACATTCTACTTGCTCCAACTGCTTTCGCTTAGTGTACACATTCTGTATATGTGGATGCATGTCTCTTGTCATTGACCTGGCCAATATGTCCTGGACTACTTTTCACATTAGGTCTTCCTCCTTCTAGTGCGGGTGTGTATCCCAGTGGCTATCAAGCTTTACATGCTTTATTCCATATCAGCCAGCCACAGTATGTATGCATAAAAGCCATTCTTTAATAGTAGGCGGACACAACGTTTTACAGTGTCTGGAAAGCACCGTTTTTGCCACGTTTAGTAGGTGAAAAAGCAATGAGGTTTTGCAAATTCGAAGAGAAGCATCAAAGTGGTATAGTAAGGACGTGGGAAAGGTTAAGGGTAACACCAGTAATAGATGCGATGAGGTCACGTACTGAGGTCCAGAAAGAGACGTTACGAGGGCATGACCACCAATTGTGGAGGAGGGTGCCAACTTATTGGGAGCAGTGCCAGCAGGTTTCAGAAATATCAGGGCAAAAACGGTGAAGCACCACCGGTGTCTTGTACCAACGTGGACAGATCTTGTAGTTTGTTTCTTGTATTTGGACATTTTGGGAGATAGTAAGCAGTAGGACATTCCTTTTCTCCCATTCTTTCGGAGTAAAGGAGCAGGTTATGTCATGTTCCCAGTCACATTAAGTCATATGAGGATGCAAGATCCGACAAAGAGGAGTAGATTTCAGAAATCGTATGCGAAATTTTGGTGGCGGAGGTACATATTTTTTCAAGCATGAAAGCGGGCAGGATCTATCCCGTTTTGCTGTTTTCTCTTCACATGCTCTTAGATTAGAAATCCCCTTAATAATAGGGATGTTCAGATACCAGTGCCGATACTTGGCATTTTCATGAGGACTACCAAGGTCACAGAGGCTGCAGCTGGGACCTGGCTCTGGCGCTCCACTACTGTCCTGAAATCATTAGTCTGTATTGTTTTAGAAAAACTGTCACATGACAATAAACAAACATGTATCAGTACTTGTATCTGTGAGTACTTGGACAAGTATCAGTACTTGAAAAAATGCTATTGGTGCATCCCTTATATATATTTAGTAAAAAAAAATCATACATTAAAACAGAGATGTACAAATCCCAGGAGCTCCGTGTGCTCCTTACAAATGACAGCTGCCTCCTAACGTTTGAGTTTCTCTCTAGTCTAGTCTTGGAGCTGGAAAAGTATCTGTACTTGGTATCTGAACATCCCTACTTAATACTATCTGACAGACAAAACTGCTATGTTTTTAGAATTTGACCATGCTTTGGGGGTTTCTGGGAAAGCAAGATGTGACAAAGAAGCAAACTAAAGCAAATTTTAGGGAAATTATTGTTAGCTGGGACTTGCCAAAAATCTGGCCACTCTGATGTGGCTGGCAGACGCTGTCATTACTTGACCAAAATATGCAACACAATCCTTCATTGAAAAGTCATGGAAACACACAGGTCCTGTGGACCATCTTAGCAAACCGAAGGATCTGCAGCACAGATAGTCCTGGAGCAAAAGAAAAGAAAAATAGGCGGAAGGACTACATGACAGGGTGGACAGGGAACTCGGAAGTACGGGGTTGGGG